TCATGGCGCTTTGGCGGGGCTCCGTACCCAGCACAGTGAGTGTACGGCAGGGGGGAAGGGTTGGGGGTCAGTGTAAGGGGCTATGGTCGCGAGCTGCCGGAGGGGTGGGGTGGGGCTTGCGGGTTGGTTGGGTACGAGGGTCGGCCTTGGACGGTAGAGGTAGGGGCGCGAAGGGCCTCTGCCCCGTCCTACGGAGCCGAGGGAGTCCCAGGTCCACTAGCTGTGTGTGTGAAATGAAATGAAGTGAAGCGAAGCAAAGTGAAGTGGTGCCTAGTGAAGAGCAACATGGTTTTGGGGTTCGAAATTGCGTTCCGACTCTGCACACGCGTACACAGGGGCGACCTCCACCTGGGACTGCACCCCCTAATGCGCTGAGACCCGTAACGGCCGCAATATGTCTTCTGAGTCACCCCTACCGCCACCTACCAGTTCCCAGTTCCAGACGACGTGGAGTACCTAGGTGCTCAGCACCGTCCACTGAGGGAGGGAGCTTAGGCGGGCTTTCCGCTGCGGCTGAGCCGTATGAAGCTGTCCCAGTGGCCAGTGTCAGGCCCGGTCAGATACTCGTAACGTTCACGCTCACTTGAGCTGGGCTGAGCCGTATGAAGCTGCTCCGTAGTTACCCGCGCCCTCACACGCTGGAACGTTTTCACACCATTTTTACATCATTTTTACAATTTTGCATTTAATGTAAAAAGTGATGTAAAATTATGTAATTTTAATACTCTACTTTTAATGTGGTAATATATGTTCATGTTCACCGTGCGCTGCAAATATGTCAAGGCTCGCGCGGCGCTGCTGACTGCGTCTCAGCTGGCGACGTACGACACCGTGAAGCGGGAGGTCATGCAGTACAGCGGTTGGGGCGACACGTTGTCCACACACCTGACTTCGAGCTGCTTCACTGGCCTCGTCACCACCACAGTCACCAACCCAGCTGACGTCATCAAGACGCGGATGTTTGTGGCAGGTAGGGATCAGAAGCAGAAGTCATGCGCATGTCTCCGCTTGGTGTTCACTCGATTTTGGTGGGTATTGTGGCTCTCTCTCTTTGTTTTAATTGGGGCTCGTTTATAAAATTGCAACCGGAAATAAAATGATAATTAAGCTAAATATTCTATAGACGTTTTTGGGGCCTCTTCACATCAGCTATGCCTTCTAGGAGCTACACCCGTGCGCTTTGGGGCCTACATCCATGCACAGGGTTGCGATTTTGCTTATAGAAAGGGAAATATTTTACTTTTTAATAAACCTACTTATGTTTCATGCGATCTAGCTGGACGGGTTTAGCACGCGTAGCAATCATGGCTTTTTATGACCCTTTCGCTGTCGGTCGACTTGTGTGGCGATTTGTGGCACTTGGCTTGGCCTTGGCCCCGCACGCACCCACGTCCGACGGCACCTAGGCGGTTCCAAGGCTCGCGGCATCACACAGACTGTCCTGGACGTGATGCGGAATGACGGACCGAGCGGCTTCTTCAAGGTGGGTGGGTGGGTGGGTGGGTGAGGTCTGCCGGGCGGTGGCTAGGTGCGGCTAGGTGCGGGTTTTGGCGGGACGGGGGAGGGGTTGTGTGCGGTAGTGGTGGGTTCGACATCCGCCGCTCGGCCTCCGGGGCAACGGAGTCCAACGGAAGGAAGGGGGGAAAGGTTCCCTCACACTTGTATGTGTCTATGTATGTGTGTATGTATGTGCGTATGTATGTGTGTATGTGTTTGTGTGCGCGGCTGCACATGGGAAGGTAGGCAGGGAGCTTGCCGATGTGGCTACAGTTATCGGGGCCTTAGGGGTAGGGGTTGCTTCAAGGGAGGGTAGCGAGTGGGAGGACGAGTGCCGCGTCCACAAGCGCCCATGTGCATATGCATGTGCATGTGCATGTGAGTAAATCCGCTAAGGCAGAGAGGGAGAGACACAGAGAGAGAGTCTTCTTGAGTCCTTTTCCACCATGTTAAACCCGGTGGTTGGTCGTTGTGCCTTCTGACTCGCTTCCAGAGCCCAGGACCCAGACCCGTAGACCTAATCACGGCCCCGTCCCGTTACCCGCCCCCATCAGCACAAATACACACCTCCGAACGCCGCCTTACTTCCCGCGACAGGGCTGGACGGCCAACTACGCCCGCTTGGGTCCGCAGACCGTCATCATCTTTCTGATCTCCGAAACCATGCGTCATACGTTGGGGCTGCAGGGGCTGTGACGCCCCGGAGGCGCTGTTGTCCCCCCTCCAGGGCGGCAGGGAGGGGGAGATGTCACGATATCGTAACACCCCGTTGAGTGACGCCGTGCACAATTTCATGGATTATTAGATGGGATTTAGTACGATTGTTGGGGAAGGCGGTACGACACGTCGTATGAGTTGTGGGGCCTGCGGACGTCGTCTTGTGACATCGTCTTAATGTATCGGGATTGGGATCGAAAACATAATTTCGCAAGTGTCTGTGTCGTAAGCTGCACATCATGTACCTATGCATACGGCTGAGCCCGTTGCGGGCAGCGGGGGGGGTGCCGTTAAAGGCGCGTGTGTGTGTGCTTTTGTTGTGACTTGGGAGCGTGGTGATGGTGGAGGCGGAGTTGGCGGAGGGGTGTCCGGGGAAATGCGGCACCCCATTCCGCAACCCCAATTTAAATTTAAACACGTCGCGTCATCCGACTGTAGCATCGACAAAATATGTGCGTACGGCAGACTGTCGTGACAAACACACGCCGGCCGATCCAACTGGCTTATTTAGCAGGAAGGCATTTTGGCATCCTGGTTATTTTTTTTATCATCAGTCAGTATTTTTTTTGTTGAGTGAGGTGGAGGCGAGGGATTTCGAGGAGACGGCGTCCTCGAGGGTGAACTCGGTGACGTCACGGGTCGTACGACAGCCACCCGTTGTGTCGTCAACACATTAGTAAACACTTAGGCGGAGGGTGGGTGTGAGGTCATATGACGCGCCATAGAAGAAGATTCGTCTTTGACCTGTCGAGAAGAACCCAATCGAGCTGACGAGAAGGCGAAGAACGCTCCACGGGCACCTGTCGTACACAACTCCCTGTACGTATGTTGAATTTTTTTGAATTGTTACAGAGTGGGAGGCTTCTGGGCAACTTGAACACGTTGTCAATTGTACGATTTATCACATCATACAGTACCATCCACCATTACCACACTGTACTACGCCATACGAACTGGAAGTCCAAGGCGGTTGATCCTGCCTCCTAGGATCCCTCCTCATCCATTCACCCGAACATCCCCAGAGACAGAGGGTTCAGCAATCGCCACCAATCCAGCGTGCGAATCTCGATCCATCACCTGTGATCTCAACTCCACATCTCAGCAGCTAGCCATAACCTCACGCTCCCGACTATGTCGGGGGTCTCCCAGGACACGAACTCAGGACCTTAAACTGTATAAGGCAGTAGGGTCAACCAGACCAGCCCAGCCCAGCCCAGCCCCCAGCCCAGCCCAGCCCAGCCCAGATGTATCTGAATGCGCGGCGGCTTGCTGCAATGTGGAGGGGAGTACAGATCCGGAGGGTATCCAGCCGCTACATGCGGCCGTACATGGCCGCTTGTTACCATTTGGTCATTTGTCATGTACGGCAACATAAGGCTCCGCGGCCAAGATACATACGGCTCGTAACCTTACTGTTGGTTTCTGGAACTGGACATGGAGCTGGGCTACCCTAGGGGGTTGGGGTTGGGGTTGGGGGACAGGGCGCGGTGCCGGACTTTCATGGCAAGGAGCACCAGGAGTTATCGCGACGTTAGGGTGCGTGGAGGGAAGGATACGTGAGAGTTAAGAGGGCGCGGGGTAAGCCTGCGTATTGTCACCGCATGCTGAGCGCTGGCGGCGGGGTGCAACTTAGGGTGCATCAGTCAGTGTTTAGGTTTTCGAGCTGCTCGCGGGGCGACGATGGCGGACAATACGCAAAACTTAGGCATGTGTGTGTGTGCAGCCCCTAGTACGGCACCGCCCTTCTTCCAGCTTTGTAACCCCGAGTGCGCATGGATTGATGGATGGATGGATAGGAGCAAGGTGTTGCCGATATTTGCACTCCTTACCACAGCGGAGTCCCCGGGGGTCTCTCTCAATGAGGCCGCGGCGTTGACTTTTTGTATGCCATGAGACCCTTTGAGACAGATGCGACACCCGCGGCGCGTGTAATCTTCATAATATAAAACAGGACGTTTGGGTTTTTCCCACAAGACATAAATACCTTGCATTCATTTTTAGGCGTTGTCCTAGCTTTGGAGGGCGACTGCCAACGAAAGAAAGTCACAACACTGTGTTTCGCCGCCGCGCAATTGTATCACAACAGCGGTCAACTTTGTCCGGCGGCCGCGACAGCAGCAGCAGCAGCAGCAGCGGAAGGAGCGTCACAGCAGTAGCAGCAACGAGGGGGGATGTCCGCACCGCGACGTGGCAACCACAAGCGAAATGCCAAATAGCTTTTCACCTCGTAGATAGGAAGATCCATGGGTTCGTACTTCCTCCGAATACCGAATACCGAAAGCAACCACCACCAACCGCCAGCAACCACCATCGGCTGTGTAAACAGGAGATGAATCCGTGACCCCATTGAGCTGCATGAACACCGCTCGTCCGGCGCGCGAGCACCTCGACCACTCACTCCTTCAGCTGGCGGCCATCTTCAACTTACACAAGCCGTACACAAACTGGCCGCCGCACAAGCCGCGCAACACAACCCCTGCATGTCATTCTACGTTTTGAAATTGAACAGCAAATAATAAATGGAACAAAAGGACTTCCGTACGATAATTCGTTGGAATTCCCACTCGCCTTCTCCGGGTGTCCGTGGTTGGGTGTTCTCTGCGATGAAACAACACTGCAAACACCTAGAGCACTCCAGACAACTTTCCTTCTCCTGCTATGGAACAAAAGGCAAAAGAATTGAGTAACAGATCAGCGCAGCGGAGGCACCGGCAGCCCACCGCTGCAGCAACAAGTCAGCAAACAGCTAAAGCGGTAGCGGTAGCGGCGGGCCAGCCTCCATCACGTCACCAGCCCCCCGAGTCCGCCCGTGCCACAGGGCGCGGGGGAGGCGGCGGCGGCGGCAGCGGCGGTGGTGGTGGTGGTGGTGGTGCCTGAGCCGCTGCTTGCGCCACGGCGCTTTCCTCCTTCGCCTGTTGCTGTTGCTGCTGTTGCTGCTGCTGCTGGTGCTGGTGCTGCTGTTGTTGCTGCTGCTGGTGCTGCTGGTGCTGCTGGTGCTGCTGGTGCTGCTGGTGCTGCTGGTGCTGGTGCTGCTGGTGCTGCTGGTGCTGCTGGTGCTGGTGCTGCTGGTGCTGCTGGCGCTCCCGCCACTCCCGGATGGCGCTCCTGAGCGTTCTGTTTTCAACCAGGTTGGTGTTCTTCATGGGGAGGTTGGTCAGGGGGCTGGAGGAGCTGCGCCGCATCCACTCCGCAATCGCCAACTTCTCGTATGTGTAGCCGTCCGCAGCAACCACCGGCTCGTCCATGATGTCCTGCAGGGCGGTACACGTGTACGGCGGACCGCACATCGCATTTTCGAAAAAATAAGTGCGACGAAGCATGCAGTTGTGTTTTCAAGTATGTCTGGGCATGTGTGCAGCCATACGCACATGATAAGCTGAGCCGGCAGGTCGCGCGGGCATGTATGGGCGGTACGGGTGTGTTGGGACGACATTGAAGGCGGCGAGGTAACCTTGCAGTGCAAATCCGTGATGGCCTACGATTGCAGTGTCGACAGCCGGCAGCCGGCAGCCTTAATAAATGTAAAGAAGAGACCCAAGCGACATGCCCCAGCACCATTCACGACGTGTGTGTGCAAAGGCATTGGTCAGGAATTGTGCCGTTTTTTGCCTTTGCTGCGGAAATGTGCTCTCCTATGCTGCGCGATTAAGCAGCTGCAGCAGCGGCAGCAGCAGCTGCATGGGCGGTTGTTAAGCGGTTGTTAAGCGGTACGGCAATACCTGGGTGATGGGGCAAAGGAACATCGGCGGCACATTGACGTCCTGCTGCTGCTCCTCCTGCTGGAGCTGCTGGGGTGGCGGCGGTTGCTGGTCGTACAAACGCGTCCGTTGCTTCAACTGCATCAACGTGGGCAAGATGACGCTCCTGCACTCCAAGGCGC